GCGAACCGAGGTTCACGCACACCCCCCCTGCTTTTGGGAGGGGTGTGCGTGAACCTCGGTTCGCGTGAAAAGTGTATGCGTGAACTATTTCGACATATATATTAGTCATTTATGCCTTCCAATACTCAAAATAGCTGCTATATTTTCCAAACTTTTTTTGTTAATAACTTTTTAACGAATAGCGACCCCCGACTAAAACCTTCTGAAGGTCACTCAGGAGGGTAACCTTGACAACATATGTCAAGGTCAAGGTCATCGGAGGTCAGGCCCTAATTGTAAACATTTACCGAAACTTGTACATTGCTTCCTCATAATTTTTAAGTATGCAAATTATAAAATTGAACATTGCTTAATTAACATTTTATTTCACTCATGAAGCTTTCTCCATAAGGAAGTCTGTTTTTTTATGCATAATTATTAATTGATATTTATTAATTTGGCTTCCTCATAGAGGAAGCTTCATGAGTGAAATAAAATGTTGATAAGCAATGTGCAAATTTATAATTTGCATACTTAAAAATTGTGAGAAAGTAATGTTCAAATTTATATTTTGCATACTTACAAAATTATGAGGAAGCAATGTGCAAGTTTCTACTTGCCCACTTAAAAACCAAGAAAAAGCAATGTGCAGGTTTCTACTTGCACACTTAAAAACTATGAGGAAGCAATGTGCAAGTTTCTACTTGCACACTTTTTTTTATTGTGATAAAGCTTTATTGCAACTAATATCTGTTATACTTTTACAAAAATCAATTAAATAATTAATGTTTTTACTAAAATAATCCCTACTAATTGCTACTAATTGGTAACTTCTTTACCGATCCTCGCAAAATTCAAAACAACCTTCCTTTAATGATAATCTATATAAAATTACATCTTATACACTGCTTTTTAAGCAGAAATCGGTAATTCCTTCACCGATCCTCACCAAATTCAAGAAAAAACTAAAGAATATAACAGAATTAGGAAGAACACGATATCTCAAAATTTGCGGAAGTTACAGCAACCACAGACATTTCTCCAAATATTATAGACCTTTGATCGCGTATAAAGCTGGGTCTAATCAACCAAATTCCGCAGCTTCTTTCTCCGCTGCTTAATACCAACTTTCTTCTAGAATCTAATGATACTCTATATAAAATTTCATGTATAACTTATACATGTAACTTTTTAAGCAAAAATCGGTAACTCTTTCACCGATCCTCGCCAAATTCAATACCTTCTTTAAATGATATTTTATCCATTAAATAACTTGCACATTTTTTAAGCAAAAATTGTTATACACTTTTTAAGCAGAAATCGGTAATCCCTTGACCGATCCTCGCCAAACTCAAAACAACCTTCCTTTTATGATACTCTATATATAGAGATTACATGTATAGCTTGTCCACTTTTTAGGCAAAAATCGATAACTCCTTCACCGATCCTCAAAAAATTTAAAATTTTATAAAGAAAGAATCCCCCCCCTTTTACCTATTATCGCCAAATTCAAAATACCAACTTTTTTTAATGATACTCTATATAAAATTACATATACAACTTATACATGTAACTTTTTGAACATAAATCGGTAACTCCTTCATCGATTTTCGCCAAATTTTAAAGAAATAAATATGAAATATAATAAAGAATATAATAAAATTAGAAATAGCCCAATATTTCAAAATTTACAAAAGTTAGAGCAACCACTGGCATTTCTTAAAAAATTCAAATTTTTTTTTTTAAAGAACCCCTTTACTGATTATCGCCAAATTCAATACCAACCTTCCTTAACTGATACTCTATCAATTAAAAAAAAATTAAGCCCGATATCTCAATATTTACGGAAGTTAGAGCAACCACGCCGGACATTTCTTAAAAAATTTAAAATTTTTTTTAAAAAGAACCCCTTTACCGATCATCGCCAAATTCAATACCAACCTTCCTTGAATGATACTCTATCGATTAAAAAAAAAAACTGCCCGATATCTCAATATTTGCGGAAGTTAGATCAACCACGGACATCAAATCACCACATACACACACATATATACGGACATTTCTTTTAATGCAATATGTCGACGTTTTAGAACACTCTGAACATATTAACATCAAAAACTCAAAAAACAATCTTTTTTTTGGTTTTTTCTACCCTTATTTCATATATAATTATTTTAAATTTGGTTGATTAGAGCCAACTTTATATGCAATCAAATGTTTATACACGAAATTTACGAAAACAAAGCTTCCTCTATAAGGAAGCAAAACACGCCAAGTATATATGTGCTCCATACAACACCTTTATCAAAAAGAGAAAATTTTGATCTAATTTGATCTTATAATGCCATTTTGTATTTTTTTGCTACAAAAACAATAATATCAGAAGGTTTGCGTCAAGCAAATATGATAAGAAACACTTGGCGCCAAATATCTTTTGTGTGTGAATATAAATAATAATAAAAAAAACAGCCCGATATCTCAATATTTGCGGAAGTTAGAGCAACCACGGACATCAAATCCGCACATAACACACACACACACACACACACACACACACACACACACACACACACA